TGGCCAAAACAAAATCAGTGGCAAATTTGTAAATAAATGAAAATGTATTTTTGAAGTCAACCGATTAAAATACGATTTTAAGAAGAAGAAGACGCATTCTATCCCATACGTATTGGATCGCGGGTTTAGTCTCAAATATTTATAAGGACTCTTGCAAAATTCCAAGGCGAAGAAGGGTATCGGTCATCCACGGACATCGGATTAGCTACAGGCGGCCATGATTAGATTAGGCGGTATAGGAGGCAGCAGCGCCGACGAGAATAAAGCGGCCTTGGCGGCGCTCATGGTGGTGAGGCGATGAGCTCGCCAGAGAAGACGGTTTAGGGCCTACGGTGTTCGGTTTTGACAGGAAGGTCCGAGAGTGAGAGGAGAGGGTAGGGAACTCACCTAGGGCAACCACACGGCCGAAGATGGCTCGGAGATGGCGTGCGGCTTGGCGGGTCAACGGCGGACGGCGGAGCTAGGTGGCGGCGCGGCTGCGGGCGCTCGGGGGATGAGGCTGCAGCGTGGGTGCGGGATAAGGAGGCGGCGCAAGGTGCGGCTCGGCTTATATGGGGTCGGGAAGCGTGGGGGTATGGCGCAGCGGCGTAGTGGAGCCAGACACGGCGGCGGCGGTCGATCTTGGTCGTGTTCGGAGCGGACACGGCGTGGAGAGGAAGAAGACACCACAGCGGGCAGGCAGGCCAAAGCGTCGGCAATGAGGTGGAAAAGAGACTGCAGCAGCGGTGCGACCTGGGCTGGCTGCACTACTAGGTCATGTGGAGCGACGGGACACGGGAGATGAGCAGCAGCTGGGGAAAGCAAAAGCAGCAGGGGCCTTGAAGCCATGCTGGGCTTGAGCCCAAGCGGAAGGAGAAGGACAGCCCGCGGGAGGAGAATGCTGGGCCACGGGAAGAAAAATAGAAGCGGGCCACTCGGGCCTAATAAGAGAAAGAGATAAGTTTCCTTTTCTATTTTATTTTTAAAACCAATTCAAATGTAAACCAAATTAAATTTGAATAGGATTTCAAATACACTTTTCAATTCAAACATAAATGAGAAATTTTGATAAGTTTTCAAAAATAAATTTTACAACTTTTTAAATTCTTTTATTTTCTAATTCTCTTTTCTTTCTTTTCTTTTACTTTTTTTTAATTTCTTTCCAAAAGCAATTCAAATCATTTTTGAAGTTTTAAATCAAAACCACTCCACCAAATAAATCAAAATGCATCAGCATGTATGCACATCCATGTTGCTACTCCCTATAATGAATTTTAAATTAATGAAATTTTTTATTTATTTTCATGAGCACAAAATTCCAAATTAAATAATTTTAAACCTATTTTCAAAAGAGGCAAATTTTAGGGTGTTACACCCCGCCACGCAAAGCCCGTCCTACGCCGTGCCCAGGGTGCGCTGGCCCAGGGCGCGGAGCAGGTGCTCGCACGCCTCGCATAGGTGCTCACCCATGCCACCGAGCACGTCCTCGCCTAGAGGCGCACCGACGAGCTCCATGCGCCGCTGCAGCGTCGAACTCTGTGATTCGTCCAAGCAGCAAGGTGACATTGCGCGCTGAAAACGCATATTGCAAAAATATGTTTCAGATGTTTTATCTGGATGTTTCAAGTGTTTTCATGTGGATGTTGCAAACATAGATCAGGATGTTGCATATGTTGCAATGGTTGTACACGTATGTTGCAAGTGTTGCAAGTGTGTTTATCTGAATGTTCCAAATGTTAGTTGTTTTTTCAGATGTATGTTGCAAGTGTGTTTATCTGAATGTTGCACGTGTTCCACAAATATGTTGCATGTATTTTATTTAGATGTTGCATATATTTTGCAATGGCTTTTCCAAGCATTTTACAAGTGTTTTAGACGTATGTTGCAAGTATTTCAATGTTTTCGAACATGTGTTGCAAATGTTTTTATTTGAATGTTTCAAAAGTAGATCAGGTACGTGTTGCATCTCCCTCTTCGCCTTCTGCTGTCTTTGCCTCGGTGTCTTCTCTTCTCGATGCTGGTGATGTTCGGATGGCGTGGGCCCACGTGGGGACGGGCGGCGAGGGTTGGGTGAGTCGTTCGAGCGGCGCAGAATCCGGCGGGTGGGGTGTGCGAATGTGAGTAGGCACAGGGCATGGGAAGCGACATCCGGACGCAGGCCTCGCGCCGGACGTCTGGGCACTAATCATTCCGATTTAGTTTCTGTCCTAAAAATTGTGCCCCAATAGCGTCTCGTGGGTCACTTCGGGCTAGGCTTTGGGCTAGGGCAAGCCACCCATTATTTTTATCAGGAAATGGATAAAAGAAATGTTTTGAACCAGGCTTGGGCCGAGTGAGAGCTCCCGTTTGTTTTTGGTAATAACTGAGTGACAACATTTAGATGGACTAATCCTTTTCATATGAGATAATTAAGTACTTAGCCCACAAGGTGATGTTGAGCAACATGAAGGCCATGAGAAGACCTGACATAGACATGTAATGAGAAGCTCAACACTTGGTAATATTAAAGACGACGGAGATGAATCGGAGAAGGATGGAAGCAAGAGCTCGAAGGCAAAGGTATATCTTGTAGGGTTTTGTTTTTGCTGGCGAAGGTGTGTGGAGAAATGATTGGCTAGATTTAGGATAGATAGCCATATTATAAAGAGAAGAATTCTTGGGCTAATACAATTATCTAATGCCACTAGGTGAGAACTAATGATGCATATGTTAGATCGTGTGGCACGGTGAGGAAATAAAAGAAAACCTTTGGAAATGTTATAAAAATGCTAACTCAGTGCTAAAGGTATGATTATCCTACAGAAAAGTAATTTGGAGTTAATCATTGAAAAAGGTTAGTTTGAGTCCGATTTTTACGCTCACTAGAATTCTCCGATGAGCTTTGCCCCGTTCGATTGGCTGATAAGCCATGGCTGAAAGTATTGTTGGCTGATTTGTTGTGATAGAAAAATACTGTTTGTTGGCTGAAAAAGTATGGCTTATAAGCCAAGTGAATAGGAAGTTGAGCCACTGGAGGGTTGGAACAGTGCAATAAACCGGATCAGCCTGAACATCTTGTACTCATCGGATATCTCCATGGTGCACCAGAGGGTAGATCCAGAGAGCATTCAAAAGGTGCGAAGGGGTCGCCGAAGGTGTCTACTGGAGCTTACCTGAGGCACTGTTGTCGGCTAAGTTTACGAAGCGCGCAGATAATTGTCTTTCGATGGCACCAAAGCGCCGGCACCAGACCTTGGAACAGTGCAGTCTAGCACATGGTTCTGGGCATTTGAACGGACCAAAACTCTCCGGTGTGTGCATCAGAGATGTCATCGAAGAACGACTCTAGAGAGATCGTTTTGGTGGCTGTTTGGGTGCTAACGCGCACCGGAAGTATTCAGCCCCTCGAACCATCTAAAAATCCTTTCACCAAGTATAATTTTTTCCCAAATGCTTGCCGCGACGCGCGGGGGCAGAATGGAGCCCGTCCAATGCGCTCGACGCTGAGGCGGAGAAGACGCACCAGACCGCTCGGCGACGCCACGGAGAAGGTACCGCCCGCACCCACCACGCGCTTGCGCCCGTGCCCACTCGCCCGTCTCGCGCCGACAGCATACGCCGATGAAGACAACGGCGGTGCCTAGGGTTCCGGCGCGCCCCACCCTTCTTCCCCAACTCCGGCGGGGTATAGAAGGACCGCCTGGGCAGCAGGCAGGTAGGCTAGGCGGTGGGAAAGGTCGTGGGCGGTTTAGGGGAGCTGCCGGTGGTCGTGGCGGCCGGGCAGTCAGGTGGGGGCGCCATGGCGAGTTCGTCAAGCTTCGCGGAGTTCGCCATGGCAGCATGCGGGGGGGGGGGGGGAGGGAGGAGGAGGTCGCTGCCGGGCGTGTAGGGTCTCACCGGGGTGGTCGGAGGTGGTGGTAGCGAGGGCGAGGTGCTGGGCAGCGTCGTCGGATCTGGAGCAGGCGGTGTGATGTGGTGTCGGGGAGGCGGCACGAGGAGGAAGAAAAGCGGGAGGAGAAGACGCGGTGGGAGGAAGAAGATGCGACCGGGTGTGCGGGGCGGGTGTGCGGGCCGGGGTGTGCTGGACTGCACGGGCTGGCGCTAGTAGTACCTTTTTTTTCACCAAACATGCCCTGATATGTTGGAAGCTCCGGTCTTTAATCAGTACTAGCCATTGGTGCCGCACTCACTATCCATGTGGTTTGGTTTATTTTCTGAACAGCTGCTCGGGCTGTCGGGCCTGTACTAACGTTGTTCCCATTTCAAATCTTTATTTATAAAAAGAAAATCCCAGGATGCACTAATGCACATGCTCTGCCTAGCTTGAAACTACACTTTCGGCCTGTTCGTTTGGCTGTGGCTTGTCGTAAACGATCGTAAATTTTTAGTCAGAACAGTATTTTTTTCTCACACAAAACAGCCAGCAGTACTTCTTCACGAACCAGCAACGAAACGAACCGGCCAACCGAACAGGCCGTTTATCTGCTTTATTATTTCCAACACAACTTGGACTAAGTAACTGCAGAGAGACACAACACTTCCGCATCATCTTACAGACTGGATAGTGATGATGATGAAAAATAAGTGTCGACTGAGCATCAAATATTGTTTCCAATGTGTTTCATCTCACGTAGTCACGTGCCACAAAGATTACAACTGATCTAGTATGTCCTCAAAATCACAAGTGAGCAACGTTTTTAGTTACTACAACAAATTCGTTTGGAGAAATTGACAATCAAGGAGGCTTGATTTGAAGAGAGAGAAGCGAACATAAATATCATTGGTGCTAGTACAAGCCAACAAGGCAAAAGGTACAGTATACAGACAGCTCTCTGCTGTTCAATATTTACTTGAAAATTGAGAAAGAAAAAACATAAATAGCCAAATGAAGTGCTAGTTATTCAGCTTTTCGTCTGCTTGATACAGAGCTTCTGAAGCATGTTACTCTAAGCAACAACATCAACATTTGATCTCAAAACCAACACAGCAGGAAACATAAATTCACATATGTAACCGTGAATTGTCTTCTCTGGTGCTCTCGTTCATCCTTCAAACAACTCTTGCAGCTCCTGGGTTGTGAATTTTGGGGTGGTAATATTGTTGTCATCTATGTATCTTGTGTAGCCATAGATGATTTTATTAGTGATAGCTTTGCGCAGCCTCTTTCTCAGCTCAGGATCTGGGACCTTCCACAGCTTTTGTCTAGAGTAGGTTTTCTGAAATGCAGACTCAAACTTGGTCAGCGGGGAAGACCTCCCATAGCACAGAGGTGTAGGATTGAGCAAGCAGGATAACACCGGGTCCCAAGATAATTGTAGATAACTCTCCATGTACATCTCAACTTTGCTAACGAGAGCTGCCACGTGGACTTGAAGAGACGAATCAGACTCATAGTGGAGCTTCTGCTTTATGATCAAGTATGAGTTGTTCAGCAAGAATAAGAATCTGAGGCATTGATCTGAATAGGATTCTGATATGTTGGCAAGCTTTTCTTGCAGACGAGAAACCATCTCTATGATCATGCTGTTTAACGGTTGTAAGTTTCCAATCTGAGGCACATACTTACCAGGTTTAGTTGCTTCAGAGACAATTGCAGCCACATGCCGGCAATGACACTGCAAGATCCTGATGTACGTAACTACGGATTGAGTAGTCTTGTGAATGTTTGATGATTCTTGTGGATTTAGAGAAGTAAACGAGCCGTCGTCATCCTCTATTGACTCTGTCCTGATTTGCTGCATTGTGCTCCATATGGCCTCAGCCACCTTGGCCTCCTCTGATGACAACAGGCTGACTATCTCACCTTGTATCCTTTCAACTTGTGCAGAGCTTGGCGAAGGGAATGACAACCGGATCTTGTCCAAGGCACTGGACAGAGCACCGTGCACAGAAAGCAGGGTATGGAGGTGATCGTACTGCTGTCGCGGCACCATCCAATTCCTAAGATCTTGTTCTTCTAAAGTGATCTGCTTAGCATCCAAAGTATCTATGACATCGGCAAAAGCCAACAGTTTCAACATGGTTTTTTGGATAAATTGTGCGAACTGGAATTGATCCACAATATTAGCTCCATTCCCACTCTCTGTTCTAACATCACTCTCAGGCTGATCAGGACAGAGGGACGCCATGCAACTTATGGTCTCCGTGATTTTAGTGAGAGCCTGGATCCAGCTCCGCGCATGATCAAAAGTATGCTTCTGTAGCCCTGCAGATTGATCATCAGTGACGTGAAGATGTTTTCAACCACCAATCTAGGACGCTGATGTTGCCGCCGGTGACAGTGATGCTGTAATTCGCTGCCGAGTGCCGACGGCGCACTGAAGAATTCCTGGACCAGGATTTTAATTTCCTTTATCTTTTCCTGCGCTCTTATTGCTTCCTTTTTTCTGAAAGGAATTCTCCTTCGCTGGAGAAAATCCCGTTTGCTTCATCTCCATTTCTTTGCGGGGCTGCTTGATTGGTCGAACAAACTCGGTATCCTTTCTTTCCGTTTCTATCCAGGACATGTGATCCTCCTTGGCTGCTCCTTCCCCGGACACGTCCTACTTGTAGAGGAGCGTCTTGTCACACGGAACTCTGCGGTAGCCGTAGCCCTGCCCGCTCCTGGGGCACCCGCTTTCCCGGGCCCCTAGGCCTCTCCAGCGTGCCGCGGTACATGTGACGACCAAACCTGCCCTGCCTGAGCACGTCTTGAATACCGGGTAAGCGGCACAAGTCTGACTTTTGAGGGGCCGCGCGCACGAGAGTTCCTTGGACGAAACCGCTTCATATTTTTTAGGTGTATAGTAACAGATAACAGGTTTGAGCATGAGGGAATACATAAGGCGTTACACAATTGGCTCATGGATTTGCTCCAATATTTACGAAAAGGCTACGTAATTTCTGCAATTCCTAATATGGTGATGGAGTATTGTTGGTCGGCGGCGGATCCAGGAAATATTTTAGGGGGGGCTGAACAACACTGCTGCTCAATCTTAAGTTTCAGCCCCCCTACACTATAGAACTTTGCCTAAAAATTCATATGGGCTCTACAGTAATTTGCACTGATTCGGTATGGGTAGGGGGCTTGAGCCCCCCCCGCCCCACTGCTGGATCCGCCCCTGTTGTTGGTAGACGTTATGGATGTCAATTCAGTTTGGTTTGTAGGTGAGTAAACTTGGATCTTTCGGCCGATTTACCTAATTGTACATTCCTTGCTATGATACTATTGCATACTGTCGAGACTTGAAATACATGCTGATTTTCTGAAGTTTTGCTGCCAAATTCTTTTGAAATATGTCGTAATGTCGTCGCAATGTTTGATTTTAAAACATGGGTAAAAACACTAATTCATGTCCATATAGACAAACTTGTCTTTTCACATCTGAATTGACACTATTAGTTGCAGTTAACAAAATTGGGGCAAACCCATTCATCAGTTTGACAAAACATGAGCATAATCATAATGTTAAAAAACTGAGGGCAAAAACCATTATTGAACTTTAAAGTAGGGGCATGAACACAAAAACCGTCGATTTTGTGATAAGAACTGCGCAAAGCGGCTGCCAAGTATAGGAGGAATTGTCGATCAAGAATTGGATCCTGAGCAAGGTTTTGAGTTATGCACATGAATTCGTTTGGAAATTGACAATTCAGGAGGCTTGATTTAGTGCTAGTACAAGTCTGCAAGGCAGATGGAATACACATGACTCCTGGCTGTTCCATAGTCATTTCAAAATTGCAGTTTTATAGTGCTTCAGGTTTTCCTCTGCTTCACATATAGCCCCAGAAGCAAAGGCAATTGAAACAGCACCACTTTATTAAAAAAATCAACACAAACAGCAGAAACCCTGTGGTGACTTGGCTTCTGTGTTGCACTCTCAGTGTTTATCATCCTTCAAACAGCTCTTGAGTATTTTGTTGTCCTCTATGTATTTTGTATAGCTTGGAATGATTTTCACGATGATAGCATTGCGCAGTGTTTTCCTTAGCTCAGGATCTGGGACCTTCCATAACTTTTGAGTGGTGTACATTTTTCGAAACTCGTACTCAAACTTAGACAGCAGGGAGTAGTTTCTCTTGTAACAAAGAGGTGTAGGATTTAACTAGCTTGACAACATCGGTGCCCAAGATACTTGTAGATAGCTATTCACGTAGTCCCCAACGTTGCCAATTAGGGCTGCCATGTTTTCTTTGAGAGAAAAGGGTGTGTTGCCGGGGAGCTCCTGCCTTATAAAGTATAAGATGTTGAGCAAGAATAAGAACCTAGGGCCATGATCTAGAAAGAACTGTGATCTGTTGGCAAGCGTTTCTTGTAGACAAGACACAATCTCTCTGATCATACTGTCCAAAGGTCTTATGTTTCCTGTCTGAGGTACATACTTGCTATGGCTAGCTGCTTCAGACACGATTGCAGCCACTGACCAGTAATGAGAGCACAACAACCTAGCTGATGTACCAGATTACGAACTGAGTGGCCTTGTGAACGTCTGATGATTCTTGTGTATCTAGAGAACACGACAAGTTATCTCGATCCTTGGTGAACTCCATCAAAATTTGCTGCATTGTGCTCCATATGGCCTCAGCCGCCTTGGTCTGCTTTGCTGACAGAATGCGGACTATCTTGTCCTGTATTCTTTCAACTCCTCCAGAGGGAGGCGAACTGAATAGCCATCGGATCGCTGATAAGGCCTCAGACAGAGCATCGTGCACACCGAGAAGGGCAAAGAGATCAAACAGTACCAGTAGACCACTGTGGTCGCTTATAAGGGTAGTGACTTCATTGTATGGCCGCAGCACCCTCCGGTTCATAACGTCTTCAACTATGACGTCAACAAAAACGAGCAGTTTCAACAGATCCGGAATACTATCTTTGTTGCCGGTCTCAGTCTCAGGTTGCTGTTCTTCTTCAGCGCCGCTACTAGGAATATACGGTCTCGGTGATTTTAGCGAGAGCCCTCGTCCAGCTCCGTGCATGATCAAAAGTATGCTCTAGTTTTCCAGCAGATACATAATCATCAGCGATGTCGAGGACCCATCCTACACCCAGATGTTTCAACCACCAATCTAGGACACCGATGTTACCACCTTTGGCTTCGAGGCGGCCATCCTCTGACGGCGACGGCGATGGCACACCGAGGAACTCATAGACCACGAATTTGATTCCCTCCATCTCCTCCTTCGTTATTTCCTGATAGTACACCTCCTCCTCCTTTTGTTTTTCTTTGCTGGTCTCTATTCCTTTGCGATACTTCTTGGTTGGACGAGACCTGTCCTCGTCCAACACCAACTCCATGTCCATGTTTATGGCGGCCTCCAGGCCCAGGGACGAGATAGAGGAGAGGCGCAAGAGCTGCTGTTTGATGTGTAGCCAGTGGAGATCGAGACGATGGTACCTGCTGATGTGTAGCCGCTAGATGAGGAGGAACCACGAATGGTGTGATCGCGATACCGGCTCCAAAGTCCAAGATCTCCATTACTCCTACCCTCCATGCTCGGCTGCTTGCGTGCCTGAGAGGCGACGAGACGGGGACGAGGATTGGGGCCGGCGCCGCGACCTCCTCCGACCTCCCGTCGTTTTTATTTTTGCCGTTAGTTCCTGTGGCACCTGTCTCCGGGCGTGTCCTCGCTCTCCTCATCAAAGCCAAAATACCAGAGTAATCCAAAGCGGCTCGACGTCGTCGCCGCCTGGCCGGCGAAGACAACAAGGGCGTGGCGGCAGCACCTCAGTCAGCAGTGGCGTCATGGGCAGGACCAGCGGAGGGTGCAATGGGTTGCCGAGTACTTGGGCTGACATGGGCCGTCCTAATTACGTGGGCTTATGTGTCTGTGTTGGACCAAACATTGATAAGCGCTGATGTCAAAGCAGTACAGAGATGCAGATGATATTATTATTTTTTAGCAAGGGGAGCTGAGAGGCTCCACCTGAATCTATTCTCCACAGATTCCGGACAAGCCAGTAATGGAGGGTGCATGGCACCCATACACAGGTGATATTATAGGAAGGAATAAACGGGGAGTACCTTGTTAGCTGTGACTCTGTGAGGCAGATAGCTCGTCTTGTGTTGTATGCTCTCAGTGTTTTGTGCGTGCGTCTAAAACAGAAAGGGGAATGGAGAGCTCAGCTTTCTAGAAACGACACTGATATCGACAACGATGTTTCTTCCATGGTTATAGTTTGTTCATTGTAAAATGGTACTGACTACCGTTATGTATATATAGCACCACTTACTGATCCGCCTCGTATGAAAAGAAATCTCGAAGCAGTGAGATCACTTCCATACAACATGTAACATTATGTATAACTGCACGAGAATGTTGCTCTTGTAGAGAAATGCCTATCATAGTTTTGTCTCTTCTTTTTTTGAACCGAGGTGAACCCCGCTTTGCTTGATGTAGTCTGGTTCACATCAATCCACATGTGTTGGGATAGATTGGAGTTAAACTTATATTAAATTACACTTCAATCTACCCAACACATGTAGATTGAGGTGAATCCAATAACATCCCAACAAGGCCTAAGTGAATAACGGAAATACATCAGTCTGGTGGCATTACAGACAGCTTGAAGGCTGAACAAAAAGCAAACAGATTCCTAGGGCCAATCAACCGTACCTTTCCTATAGGCTATCTGATTCAGATGTCCTAGGAGGAAAGTAAACAGCGACCACAAGTTTAACTAGGAAACAGAAAAGAGTCAAGACATCTATAGCACCCAACAAACTAGCTAAGCCAACACAACTATCACAAAAGAGCTATGAGCCTATGACAACACCTATTGATGGAGATTTCCTTCAGTGATTAGTCCCCCTGTCCCTGTTCATCGTCGCCAGGATGATCAGCATCTTGCAATCAATCGGTTTCCCACCCCTCTTGTTTGCTTTGACTTGTTGAGAATCTTTGTTGCAATCTTGAACGTGAGGGCCACTCCTTCCACTAGCCTCTTCTTGTCTTCATCAGCATGCAAACCTGCCCAATATGGCATAAGAGCACAAGCATAACACACAATCTCAGCAGGGTTGTTAACAGTCTTTCCTTCAAAACAAGCTCTATTTCTTGAGTTCCATATAGCCCAACACAAAGCTCCAACGCCAAAAGCATGAAATTTATGTCCATTCGACAGCCACCTTTTGCACTAGCTCTAACATTG